GTGGCGCGTCACAACAACCCGTTCCAATACCGCGCCTGCGTCGAACTTGAAAATTCATACCACGCAGCTGTCTCATGTCGATGTCGAAGCTGAAACAAACCTTCGGAGTTGCTGTAGCCCATACCGTACCAATGCTGGACTAATACCGAACTCGAAAATAATGCAATGGTGAGTACCAGACCGATGTCGAATTAATACCGAGCCTGAAATATGTCGAATGTCGAGCCAATACCGAGCCTGAAATATATCGGATACCGTAGAATGCTGCAATCCCGTAATGATACCGAACTTGACCCGAATCAGAGTATCGAGCCGAACCAGATACCGAAGCAATACAACTGGACCAAGGTAACACCAACTCACGCTGACCATGTGGCCCCACTCTCTCAAAACACTCAGATTGCGGCAAGGCTAGTAATCAGGTGAGTCGCGTGAGCGATCCCAATTACCGGGAAATAAAGAGAATCGTTAGAATTTAGAGTAAATAAATAATCCGGGATTAAAACCCTTTGCGAATAATTTGAATAAAATTTAATCAAACATTTAATAATCATCGGTTTTCTTCCATTTTATCATTTTTAGTTATTTTTTTTATCTCTTAATTCTATTATCGAAAATAATCATAATAATGAAAATAAAGGTAATTTCATCAAAAGTGAATTCCGATGGAATTCAATCAAATAATGAAAACTCCCATGTTTTTTTTTTCCTTTTATAATTTTGATTATTTTTCTTGTTTTTTATTTTATTACTGGAAATAACAAATAATGAGGGCGATTCCATTAAAATTAAATACCAAGGAAATTTTATAAAATAAATAATATCTCGTTTTTCTCCTCGCTTCTACTGCTTTTATTTTTTTTTTCATTTTTAATTTTAATATTAAAATTAAAGATATTTGAGGCTTCATTCCCGCACCAATTGTGCAATGTAAAAGGACCACACCAAGGCCTATTCTCATATTACCGTTCCGCGGATAGCCGTTTCGAAAATAGGCTCGGAGCGGACGAAAATAAGGTAGACGTCAGCGCAGTAGAAGAGGTAGTCCCTCTCGCCAATTTTGAGAGGTAGTCTCAGCGGTCGACACATCCAATTTTAAGGGGGCTCTAGGTACCCCTAATTTTTCCTGACAGCTCGGATGAAAGTCTCAGTCAATCCTCCTTTAGGCAGTTAATCTAAGGGTTAAACCGTCGGATTTCAGGTGGCCGACTGGCGTTCGGCCGCCCGACAAACAAGCCCGGACCTTTTCTCGACGCCCCCGTCGAGTCTGCGCCGTCTAAGTCAGAGTCTGTGAAACGAATCGTATAAGATTTATAGCGACCACGCGCGTGCGGCTCTTATGTCTCCGCTTATCTGTCTAGCGCTTGGATTTCTCAGGAACTCTGGGGCTGAGAGGGTCCTTTTTTTTTTTTTTTGCCGAGGTCGCTTGGGCTTAGATATAGGGAAGTTTCTCGTCTTTTGTTTTCGTTGGAGTGGCTGCCCCTCATGTGCTCCACCTCGTCTAATGCGGACTCTGCGTTTAGGTCTCCGCAACACAAAAAGTCATTTCCTTCTCTTTCCCGGCATCAAGCCCTTCACCTTCCTGGTCTCTACTCTCTTTCTCATCTTCGAACTTTCACCTATCTTGAACCGTCTCGACGGTCCGTAATCCGCCGCCTTCGCTTTCCCTTTATTCTTAGGGTCTAATAGTGCCACCGCATGGGTAGGGGTATCCCTTGGCCTAAACAACTTCAATCTAGCCTCTGCCACATGATCTTTCCACCTAGATCCATCTAACTCAGCAATCATATACGCTCCCCAGCTTAGCGCACCGACTACATGGTAAGGTCTCATCCATCTGTTAGCCAGTTTTCCTGACCACGTCCTCTCCAATGCAACGTCGTAGAGAAGTACCATGTCGTCGACTCTTATCTTCTCCTTTCTGATTCTGACATCTTTATCCCATCTCACTTTGCCTTTCTCTTTTTCCACCGCCAATCGATTGGCTGCGGACATAAGATCATCCTCTAGCCCGTATGCAATCTGTCTAGTCCTGACCGCCAAACGCTCCTCTCGCGACATATTATCGGCCCAATCAACTGTAGTCCAACTGTCTACATGAAACTATATGGGCAAAAGGCAGTGTCTCCCAAACCACAGAGTGTAAGGCGGGTAACATATGCTAGCTCGGACTGTGACATTATTTGCCCATACCGCATATCGAAAGTATTTCGGCCAGTCGCTATCTTTACCTCTACACCACTTGGGCAGTGATGCTATCAATGACTGATGACCTCGCTCTACTGGTGCATTGGTCTGAGGGTGATAGGCAGTAGCTATTGACACTCTAGCTCCCGCTTTCTTTAGTACATTCTGGACCTCATCCGCTAGGAACTCCGCTCCTCTATCCATCACAATCTTACTGACACACATGTATCTAGACAGATATTCCAGAACAAAGTTCTTGACCTCCCTAGTTGTCTTGGTTCTAATAGGTTTTCCATCAACAAACCCAGTGAAGTCATCTCTAACAGTTTACGACATAGTTCATATTGCCTACTCCCTTCGGCATCTTAACCAGATCGATGTGCACCTTCTCGCCCGGTCGAGTAGGATAGGACGGATGAAGCGGCTCCTTGTATCTCACAAGGGACCTCTTCTGACATTCCTCACAAGTCACACAATACTGTTCAGCGCCTTTGTACTGTCCTTCCCACCAGTATAGTCCTCGGACCTTCTCATATGTCTCTTTCACTCCTCTTTGCCCACCAACCACACTGTCATGTAGTTCCGCTATTATGGACTCCTTCTCCTCTGGGTCACAGATCACTCGTAGAGACATCCCTGATCCTGTAGGCCTACAAAACAAATGTCCAGATCTAAGGCAGTACTGGGCCGCCTGTCTCCTGATCTCGGAGTCCGGACTCTCCTCTCCTGACAGATGTAACCCTATCGTCCGGTACTTATCCTCATGAAGGTTAACTAGGAATCGATCAGTCCATCTGGGCTCGATCATAGTCAGTGCAGCTGCCACTATTGGTCGCTCCGCCTCGATCGGGATCCGCAAAAATCCATCGGCTACCGCATTCTTCGTTCCCGAGATTCTTTCCACAGTATAATCATAGAGTCGGATCCTGATCAACCACCTCACAATCGTGGGATCTGTCAAACTGAAGTCTTTCTGCAAAACTGACGCCACAGCTGTAAGATCTGTGTGTAGAATGAATTGCCTTCCATATATGTAGTGTCTAAAAGCGTCCAAGCACCGTAGGACATCTAACACTTCGTTTTTGAATTGACTGTAGTTACGTCAGCGATGTTAAGCGTTCGACTCTCAAATCTCAGCGGCCTCTCCTTACCGTCAGCGTCCTTCTGAGAAAGCAGCCCTCCAATTGAACATGGTCCAGCATCCGTAGATACTATGAAGGGTCTGTCGGTCTCGTCCTCGAAAAATGACACACATAAGATTCACCCCCCTTCTTTAAATTATTCCTTGAGGGTTAATACCGCAAACTCCTGAGGAGAATCCAAGTAGAATCGCTCAGTTCTCCTAAAGAGTGTACTTAGAGGCTCTGCCTTCTCCGCGTACCCACGTATGAAGATCCACCAGTAACCCACGACTTCTAGGAATTGGCGGACTTCGGTAGCGCTATGCAACGGAGTCGGCCATTTTAGGAGTTTATCTAACTTGACTGGGTCCGCTCGACGACCTTTTGAGTCACATATAAACCCTAAAATCTTAATCGTCGAGACTGCCCACCGACTTTTCGTCCTACTGACCATCAGGTTAGCTTCATCTAGTTGTTCAAGGACCACGTAGATGTTCGTTACGTGCTGCTCTACGAATCTCTTGACACCAGGGGCAACCTCCGTCTTATCTTTCAATACGGGCCCTTTTATTGGGAAGTCGTCCAAAAAGACTTCAACTTTGTCAGGAATGAAGTCCTTTAGAACAGCAACCATAGCTCTTTGGAAGACCGCAACCCCATTGGTCCACCCCATGGGCACGACCATCATCTACACTAGCCCGAGCGGTGTATGCATGACATTGAGATGCCTATCCCTAGGATATAAGGGTATCTCATCATAACCTGAAAATAGATCGCAGACAGAGTAAATGGATCTGCCTGCCGCCTCCTTCTGCTAATAGATCAGCGCGCGGTATGGACCCCACATCCCGTATAGTGACCTCGTTAACCTTTTGAAGGTCCTGAATCCACCGGATCTTCCCGTTAGGTTTCCGTAAAAAGAACCACCTGTTCGCATAAGCACTATCAGACGGTTTCACCACATGCATCTTCTCTTTTAGGAAGACGAAAACCTCTTCCTTCTCTTTCTGTGCAAACTTCCACCCTGCATCATTCCGTGGAGTATGCGGGATTGTGTAGATCCTAGCAGGTTTGGCATACCAAGGATCGATTCTTCCTCTTTCCGCATCGCTAAAGGCTATGGCATTATCACAAGTCTTAAGAACTTCTAGTACGCGCTCCTTCTCTTATTCCGTCATATTTCCATCTCCTATGCCCATCTCCGCTATCCTTTCTTCTGTCAGCCGTTGCGGATTTCTCTTCTTCCTTTCTTTAATCTTCCTGGTGATCTCCTCCTCAGATATCCTATCTAGTGCTGATCGCTCTCAGGCTACCGCCGCCGGCTTAACCTTCTGAGCCACTGTCTTGTGTCTCTTTGGTCGCTCCCCGTAGGGGCCCGTAGGGGGATGCGCCCTTAAAAAAGACACAGAGATCATACCTCCGAATTCCTCGTCTTCAGCCTTAGGGTACGAGTTTTCACCCACAAGGACGCGATTACCTAAGTCCTTGACTTCCACTATGCATCCTTCTTCCTCTATGAGCAAAGCCCGATACTTCTTCTCGCGGAATCTCAGCAAGTGACTCGCGAGCGTGACCGGCTTGCAGCCACCGCCAGCTGCTAGGGACGCTCTGTTCCTCGGATCACGAGGCTCGACTGTCTCTATCATAATCCGTCCAATATCCGGACGCTTAATAGAAAGCATCTTGCTTCCGTCCGGTTGCTCTATAGTAACTGCATGAACATGGCTCAGCCACGTCCGCCCTGGTAGTAACTCTGAACTGCAGTCCCTGACCGCGAAAACAGGCATCAACAGGCGTAACCCTTCGACCTCGATGGCCGCCGTGTGACAAACTCCTTCTGCTTTCTTTCATCGACTGTCTCTATCTCGAATAGGTAAGACCTGTCGAGGTCCATCCCTAATCGCACAGCAAGTTCCTTGTCTATGATGACAACTTCGCTGCCATTGTCAATCACCCCATGGAGGACTATCTCGTCATTGAGAATGGTCTCCACTGTCCCACTCCCTAAAATGTAAAACTTGTGAGGAGGCACGCCTTCCATTCCATCCAAATACATTGTCGCTGCGCGTTCTGCCTTTGCGCACACTCCCGATACTGCCACAGAGGGTACCTCTGGTTTGAAAGTCATCTGGACTTCGTCTCCCAGGGGAATGCGAGTCTTGCGCGTGATCATCTGTAGCTCATCTCGCGGGGGTCTCGAAGTTGCCAGGTACTCAAGTATCGTGCACTGCATTGGTTGCCTAAGCGCACGTATGAGAGGCTCCACTGTATCGATATCGTCCAAGGTGTCCTTCATAGTAAACTTCCGGGCTCCGCGCTTGTGCGGCGAAAATATGACTTCCTCTCCTTCAATCCTCTGTCCATCCTTTTCCGCAATCACATAATCGGTGTCAGTCTTCTTAGAGGAAGACCCCCTTGCGGACTTAGTCGCCGCTACCCGTATAGGTGTCGCAGATGCCCCGTCATCCGAAGGCAAACTCATCCGCACACTCTGGCTCCTTGCCACTTCTTTACCCTTACTTGGTCGTACACGCCTGGTCTCAACGTTCTCCTTCATCGAAGGGAACATCGATACGTCGCCGAGGTCATCTGCCCACTTGACGTACTTGCGATCATCAAGTACGACAAATCCTTCATCTATAGCCGGCCTGAGGTCGGGACAGTTCCGCTTCGCGTGATCATCTGCCCTACAATAGATGCAGAAATTTCTAGGAGTAGGGGGTCTCTCTTCAGTGCCCCTAATAGTCGAGCCTCTCGCAGGCCTAATATCTTGGGTGGACGGTCTCGGGGACTTGGGATAGTTTGGAGACTTTGGGTACCTAGGCGACGCAGGGTATCCTCCTCGATCATACTGCCCTCGTGGGTCTTCTCGACGACCTTCACCTCGCTCTATCCTCTCGTAACCCCCACGATATCCATCACGGCGGTCCCTGTCCGATTCCCATCTGCCGCGGGAGTCGTCTCTGTCCCTCGGGTTAAAATTGTCTGGGCTCCGGTATCCTTCCATGTTCCCTCCATATCTGGGACTGCGCGGATACTGTTTCAGTTTCCCCCCTCGGCTCAAAACGTCTACTCCACGATACCCGTCACCTCGGCGGTCTCTGGCAATTTCCTCATCCCTACGTAGCCAGGCATCGTCGTGCTTCTCTCTCGCGCGATAGTCCGCTAGTGTGCGAGGGTTCCTATCCTCCATGCTCCTCCACGGGTCGGTGTTCCTGCGTTCCCATCGCAATGAATAGAGGGATCCTAGCTTGTCTCGATAAGTAGTGGCTCCCGTCTTTGTCTCGATATCGGTCATTTGTCTGGCCAATCCCTTCATCATCTCTCTCATCTCTCTCACCTCGTCTATCACCGTCTCTCTGTCTCTCGGTCATTATGGTCTGTCCCTGTCCATAAAATATCGCCGTTCCGCCCAAGACTGATCGTTAAAGTCCGGACACCTCTCCACATCGTACTCTCGATAGAGGGAGAAGTCCCGACGTTGCATTCCTCTCCAAACTAGGTCCTTGTAGTCGTTGGCCTCAGCCTTCATCGCCAACTTGAGTACCGCTGCAAAATCTAACTTGTCGTAAGGCATCTCTCTCAGTACTCCCTTCTGCTTCCCTCTAGGTAGTCGACCGATGAAGATCGTTCATCTCTCGACCTCCGACAACTTCCCTTTTGCAATAAGGGCATCGAATATCTTCTGGAATCGCCTCTTAAATGCTTGGACACTTTCGTCCTCACCCTGAGTCATCAACTCCAAATCTCGGATCGAATACTTGACATCTTCCAGCTTAAAGAGTTCATAGAGACTGGCTTTGTAGGTAGTCCATCGCCTGTCTTTTGGTCGGGATTCTTTGATTACTTGACTCAAACTCGGATCCGTGTTGAACAGGAAATTATCTATAATTTCGTCCTCTGACCATTGACTACGGTATGCGTGCAGCTCCCACTTCTCGAGATGCTCGGTGATACCATATCCCTTGAAAATGGGGGGTCTGGTGTCTAATTCTGAAGGTTGGTGCGAGATGATGTACCTATCTCTCCTCTCGTAAGGTAGAGAGTACGACTCGCCCATCTGCGAGTCGTAGATCCGCCTGGGCGGTGTGACCCTCTCTCTGTCTCTCCAAAGCTGCTCCCGAATGTACTAGTCCCTCCAGTCATCCCTACCTCGGTCACCTCTAACGTCTCTTCGTTCGTACATAGGTGAGCGTTGAACGGTCGACTCTCGCCGAACACTCGGAGGTCCGGTTCTGCTCTTTATCCGTACCACCGTGGTGACCTTGTTTGGCTCTACAATGACCGGACAGACCATTACCTCCGGCTCCCCGTCATCGAGTTGCTTTATACATCTCAATGGAGCGTTCTGTCTGATACGCTCCTTGAGGTCTCGCAGAGCGCGATCCGGTGATGCTCGGTACACTGTGAGAGATGGTTAACGGGTGCATATATTTTCAGGTCTCCTTTCCAGGCAGTTCAACCACTTGAGGTTACTACACCACTTCCAGATTGTGTGTGGATCTATACATGGGGTTGTCTGAAACCGCCTTCAGGCAGTTCAACCACTTCAAGTTGATACACCACTTTCAGATTGCTTACAGATCCATTGCAAATGGTAGGATGGGGGTACTTGAAACCCCTTTCAGAAGCTTCAGCCACTTCATCGGTTTCAGGTCCCCACTTGAAATTCCTGAAATGACCTGAAGTGGCTAAAGCTTCTGAAAGGGGTTTTAAGTACCCCCATCCAACCATTTGGATGGGGGTTTCAGGGTTGGATGGGGGTACCTGAAACCCTGTTCAGAAGCTTCAGCCACTTCAGCGGTTTCAGGTCCCCACCTGAAATTCCTGAAATGACCAGAAGTGGTTGAAGCTTCTAAAAGGGGTTTCATGTATCCCCATCCAAGGTTTAAGGTACCCCCATCCAAATGGTTGGATGGGGATACCTGAAACCCCTTTCAGAAGCTTCGGCCACTTCAGCGGTTTCAGGTCCCCACCTGAAATTTCTGAAATGACCTGAAGTGGCTGAAGCTTCTGAAAGGGGTTTCAGGTAACCCCATCCAACCATTTGGATGGGGGTGCCTGAAACCCCTTTCAGAAGCTTCAGCCACTTCGGCGGTTTCAGGTCCCCACCTGAAATTCCTGAAATGACCTGAAGTGGCCGAAACTTTTGAAAGGGGTTTCAGATACCCTCATCCAACCATTTGGATGGGGGTACCTGAAACCCCATTCAGAAGCTTCAGCCACTTCAACGGTTTCAGGTCCCCACCTGAAATTCCTCAAATGACCTAAAGTGGCTGAAAAAACAGGCAAAAAAAAAAAAAAAAAAGCCTTGTCCTACAAACGACCCGAAACTTCTGAAATTACCTGAATTTTCTTCAGGCCATTTCAGCAGTTTCAGACCACTTCAGAATCTTTCATTCTGAAATATCAGGTGGTCGTTAACCATGAGTGGTGTTGGGGAAGCCACTGTTGAGTTCTGGGACAATCCATACATTCAACTTTTCAACTTATTAAATAGTAGTCACAGTCGCAATCAAGTGTTACATCAGGGATTACCGAAGGGAGCCTGCTGGCAGGTGGTTAGACAACGCATCTTGGACATAGTGGCCGGTATGTTTCATCCCCCGACATCTACTGAAGAGGGTGATTCTAAAGAAGAGGAATGCACGTTAATAGTGCTAGCAGTGCCAGTACAGGAGGAGGTTATGGTCGAAAGTAGTGAAAGTGTTACCCCGCCTCCTCAGACCTCAGAGGATATCATCAACAGTAAAAAGGAGATGGTATAAACCAGAATAGAGGAAAATCATCCAAAAATGTCATATCCGTGGAAGAGACAAGTGAGTTGTGTAGTTGTTCTTCAGTGGAATTGTACGAAGAGAATGGTGGGAAAAACGAAAAGAGAACTAAGGATGAAAGCTCTACCTCACCCTAGAAAAGGATTGGAATGAAGGAAAGTAGAGAACGCTCCTCTGATCCAATAGTGAAGGGGGTGCTAGATTTTGGCAAAAGGCAGAAAATGCGGTATGCATTAGAAAAGGGTCAAGTTACCTATGTACATGATCGTAGAGGCAATTTGTTGATTCAAGTCCGGAAGAAAGGAGGAAAATGGAAAATAGGTCTATCACCAATAGGGCAAGATCAATACGGGGGGGTGACGTTAAGAGGATGGTTTACACATGTTGAATACCAGAGCTCAGGGGATAGGACTTTCAAGAGAGATTTGTATGATTTTTTGTCAAAGCATTTTGATCAAGGTCCCCAGACGACTCTTACACTAAAGGGTGACAAAGCCAAGATGTCCAAACGCGACACCTTTGTGAAATTTAAAGATAATAAAGAATCGGGACTTAAATGGTATTCTCACACAACACTTTTGGAACTCCAGCAGCTCAAGATAAAGTTCAGAGTTCAGAGAAAACATCACACTTGTTGAGCAAACAAGAGTTTGTCGAAGCTCGAAAATCCGAGATCAACACAGATTAACGTAAGCAATTGAATAACTCGTGGTTATGATTCCATTCCGTCCGCAAACCCAAGAACCTCCGTTCGTACCATCAATCCCATGGCGTCGGCAACATCAATAGATGCCGCCAAACACCTCAACCAAGAGGAAATGTCAATCGAACGTCAATCCTAATATAGTACTATGGTAGACCGGTTCGAGACCAAAAGTCAACCGGTAGCCTACGGACAGGGGTTGGACGAAAATTCCCACATAGTACGAAAGGTGAGGTACCTGAATTCAACAGTACTGGGTCCAAAAACAAACAGGCCTAAAACTGGCCCAATCCTGAGTGCGTCTACCCTGTCCGCATCTACGGAAATTCCACCGAAATCGAAAGACTACTCAAACAACACGTACTCATACATTCAAAACAAAAAAATGCAGAATACAAATCAAAAAGCAAATACCATAATTTCCGACACACCACATCACGCAAGAATCAGTCAAGTCATGAACTCAACAACAAGCTGCCATATTTCACCGCGCCGGACAGCGAATCGAGTTAATACCCTCATGAAGAAATCCTTTGAGAAGTCCTTTCGAGCAAGTTCCTGTTGCAGGGTCAAGACCCGCAGTGGAATCTCTGAGCGAATGTTGGTATTTTGATCAATTCGGTGTAGATAACTTCCAATAATAACACTTTTTTTACGCTTACAACCCCACGAATGATACGATTGCCCATTCTGAATGTTCAACCAATCAGAAGTCCAAATGGAGTCTTCGTTTTTCGAAATCTGAACACAGCCTAGGAAAGGGTAGGACTGTGAAGTCCTTACTGAGTAACCTAGGAACTGGAAACACCCGGATCCATCATCAGTCCGCTTGACTTGCAAATTACTCGGATAACATCCTTTAAAAGCCTGCAGAATCCTGTCCACAGTTTCCCCATTGGTGCTAGATATAGCCAGCATAACGTCGTCGATCAGACGTGTGGTAAATATTAAACGAGAATCTCCTCCCAACGTGGAGACGAAGAGATATTCAGAGAAAGCACACAGCACACATGCCAGCGGCGGACTAGTGTTTTTGCCCATCGGAATACCCAGTTCTTGCTTCAACAGTATCCCGGTTGCGAAAAAGTATGTATGCCTGATATCAAAGTAAACAAAGGAACGCAAGTCACCCAAGTCGAGCTTAGCCCAGTGATTGTCACCGGTGGTCAAGTCGAAGCTAGACCCTTTCCCCTTCGTGTTCACCCGAACAAAATACCGACCCTTCGATAGGTGGTATTCAATCAGCCAATTCACGGCTCTGCAAATATCCTCCTTGGTAATTTGCTAAACATTTCTTTAATATCAAAAGAAAATGTTGTAATAATACGATCAAACCCCAGTCTGAGGAATTTCTTATTTGCGCTGTCCAGCTTACCCACCAAGTCAGACACCGATCGCAGGTTGAAATGCCAGTGCTGCGGAATGGTATATAACAAGTGATTTAAAGCCTTCGTCACTAACCGACTGGTTCGAACCATTGGATCATTAAACGATGGGTAAATCAGAATGTATCTGCAAAAATCCTTATGTTTTGGAATCATTATGATATACGCAGCACCGAACCCACCATTTTCATTCCACCTTGCGAACTTAGTCAATCCTGCAGCATACACATCCTCCCGGATTTCCCGAACAATCTGTCCTTCAGTGGTTGGTATAATAGGGTATCCGTCATTGTGAACAAAAGTAGACAACATGGCCTCATAGTACACGCTAGGGCACATAACAACTGATTCACCGGGATTCCGGTCAATCGAGGTAATCACCAAATCAGCAAAACGCTGCTTAACAGCGAGCACCTCATTCATCTTCAGACAGCAAGTCAACTCCTTACTATTAGTCAAACACGATGCAAGATCCTTCAAGGCAACATAAGGTGGAGCACCAGGAAGGTTAGGCCAACTTCTGGAACCGGATGATAGTTCATCCCACAGTAGAGTCAGACGGTTAGCCACAAGTACACATGGTACGTTCTTAGCATTTGCAAGCAGTGCAGAAATATCCTCAAGCTCACTTAGGCGGAAGATAACACGTCCCTCAATTCGAGGGAGAGACAAACCTGCACAAGTACAGGTAAGCACATCACGTGTCGCGAAACTACGTTGATTGTGCAACAAATTGGAAACAGAGGGGTTCTTCACCCACACGATCCGAAGTTTCTTTCGAACACAATGCAAAAAGCATCTGGGTAAATCCACACGCATCAAAGTGTCATTGACCACCTTCCGAAATTCCGAAAGCTTAATTCTATCATCGTATTTAATACGAAAAGTCAAGTCAACGGAGAGACTTAAACCAAAATGATCGTGAAAGCAACGCGAAACTAGTCTACGCAGGTATTTCCTGGTGGACTTACGTGAAAAGTTTTTTAGCACGTTATATATCCGCATGATACTTTTCATGCCCCATCCATACAGCTGTTCCAAATTCCCAGGATTACGTAAGATGCCGATCAGGATCATCTTCAAAAATTTACATCGAGATTTCCAACAACAAACATGAAGGATAACAAACTGGCCACCCAATTCTATCCGCGACTTACTTAGTCTCAAGGGGATCGTGCAGTCGTCAAATCGCAACTTACTGTCACCAAAGGCTTTAACCAATTTCTTCCAGGCAGGAGACCACACATTCCCACCCTTTGAGATGACGGTAAGAGTATTACCGCTATGCAGAGGACCATCAAATAATTGGAAAAATTCAATACCCCAAAAGCATGCAGAAGTGATTCGTAAGCGAATGGGTAGACTGGTGTGTGTAGTGACAGACTTCTCCACACGTTGTTTTTCACGTTCCTTTCTACCGGGTTTGCATTTCTTTTTTCCACGTCGAGTCTTGTTGCAACCCATAGAATTCAGAAACGATGACCATAGATCGATGTAAACCTGTTCGAGCTTACTGAGGTCATCCCCGACCAAAACATCCACCGGTACGAAGATATAGTTGCCAACACCAAACAAGGTAAGCCATCTATGAAAGTGAGACTGAATCTTCTTACGACAAGCGTAGATATGCTCCCGCCACCTAGTATTAGTGTCACGGTTAGTCTTACCGATGTAGAAAGCCTTACAATAAGGTGAAACAGCCACGTACACACAATTCGTCAATCCCAAGAACTCAAGACCGTGCTTATTATACAAGTCAACCCACATATCGACGAACTTCCTCAGCCAGCGTATCTCATCATGCAAAGCGAGGAGCAAAATAGTTAGTATGAGGAGACCTTCGATCCTACGATCAACAGCGAAAGACCTACAGCGCAAACCAGTAAAATACCTGCACAGTGACCAAAGTTGAGGTACGCTTAGGTTGCATCACAGTTTCGTATCCTTGGCAACTTCCGGTATCTCATCCGTTTCGCCCGTATCTCCGGACTCGGTGATGCAAATCACATCAGTCGCGGCGACATCCTCATGACCGTACTTAAGCGCAGCATGGTGGTCCGCGATATAAAAAATCACGTCAATCTTCTTATCGTACGCAATACCTTCGTCCTTACAGATCTTTTGGAGTTCCGTAGCGTCCAAGTTCTTCAGTTCCATCATGACCGCATTCCGGTAGCGCAAACGGGCCAACGATCCTTTTGAAGCTGGTGTCAATCCTGCCGGTGGCGTCTTTCGAGCCGGCGGTGCCTTTGCCTTGGAGAGCAGAGTCTTGATCGGCGTCTTCCTCTTTGTTGATCCCCGAGACTTCACCGTCTTCTTGACAGTCTTGGACCTTGTCATCTGTGATGAAAGTTGCATGGTCCCTCGTTTTGGCGTCCGCTTTGGTACCTCCTCTTTCACAGGGCTGTTTGCAAACATTACCCCTGGGACGCGCTTCCTCTTCTCTGAGATGAACTGTTACAACTCTTCGGTCTTGGCGTCAATTTCTTGAGTCACGCTTGTAAGACTCTCCTCGCTGCCGTAGTCAGATGCCGCTTCCTCACCCGATTCGTAAGTGACAGGTTGCTTACCTTTCTCAATCGCAAGGGCGCTGATGGCGCCGACAACTTGTCTCACACGGTCAACGAAACGGTCTTCCATCTCGTTAAGCCTGATCGCCATGTGTATGTTCAAGTCCTTCTTCATTTTCGCACGACGTAACTCCTCCAAACGCTGCTTCTCCTTCTTCTTGTTAGCATTCCGTTCAAGTCTCGCTTTCTCTTTCTCTTCACGGCGTTTCTCCTCTCCTTCCCGCTGCTTAGCCTCTTCTTTCTCCCGCTTCTTTCGATCCTTCTCCTTCTTCTTAGAAATCTCCGTGTCGAAGTGCTCCTTCATTGTAGCGAGGTTCTGAGCCAGCTCAGCAATTTGAGCCTTACTACTCGGATCCAGTTGTGGAACGTGCTGCTTCCGTCTCGGTTCATAACGTCTAGGAGATCTTGATCGCCTAGAATCAGTCGACGTCGAAGGTCTTGCAAGACCAGGATAACGTCTTCGGTTCAGACACTGGTTCACATAGTGTCCAACATCTCCGCAGTTGAAGCATGTGGGTCCTCGTTGTAGCCGACGGTCACCCCCTCCATCTTGTCCATAATATCCTTCACGGTGGTCAGTGCCTGGCATACCGTGGTTGCCCTTCTCCAAGAACAGCAAGACTCGTTTCGATGCAGTTGCGTAGAAAGTATACCAAGTAACAGGTAGCACGTAGCCGGTACAGTGAAAACACACTCACTCCTCCTCGGTAAGCTGTCTCCAGGTAAGTTAACGTGTACAGTCCTCAGTTCAGAGAAAACATCACACTTGTTGAGCAAACAAGAGTTTGTTGAAGCTCGAGAATCCGAGATCAACACAGATTAACAAGCAATTGAATAACTCGTGGTTATGCTTCCATTCCGTCTGCAAACCCAGGAACCTTCGTTCGTACCATCAATCCCATGGCGTCGGCAACAACAATAGATGCCGCCTAACACCTCAACCAAGAGGAAATGTCAATCGAACGTCAATCCTAATATAGTACTACGGTAGACCGGTTCGAGACAAAAAATCAACCGGTAGCCTACGGACAGGGGTTGGACGAAAAGTCCCACATAGTACGAAAGGCGAGGTACCTGAATTCAACAGTACCGGGCTATGTAACCGTTTGAACGCCATGAATGCGCGTTCGCATTCAAATGTGCGTTTGAATGCTGATTGCGCGTTCGCGTTCAAAATTGAACGGCGTTCAATTATTATTATTATTATTTTTTTTAAAACAAAATTATTTTAATGCCTAAAAATAATGCTTTTTTTCTGATGTTTTTTTTATGAGTTCTTTATGATGTGAGGTACATGCCTCTCAATTTTGGAGTCATTTTGCTAAGGCAAACAAAAATGAAAAATCGTCAAAGATGGCGGTGTCAAATCGTGTTCGCTCACTAATTTCA